GACATGAATTGAATTTTTTTTATACGACGTATGAAAATGTAATGAAAAAGAAACTCGGATCGTTTTGCGCGTAGCCGATACGCAAGGATAAATCAGGTCAGTTAAGTGATCGTAGATCAAAGCACGATTGAATTCCGGTCACGTGTGGCGGAAGAGGGATTGTTCGTATGATCGACGCATACCAGGGACGACGTGATTTTCACCTTGACCGTGAACAGGTCATTGTCCACTGGTTATTCCGGCATCGCGATATGGTCGACTTTTCGGATCTGTTGGGCTATAATTAAAACGCGTCGCACTAGTTAAAATAAATTAATTTACACGCTTTAACTTGAATTATATAAATATTTTGCCAATTTATATAATAAATCAGGATCAATTTATATAAATATACAATTTATAATAAAATAAATTAGAAAATAGTGCTCTAAACGCGTGAAACTTTCGCTTCCAATATCCTTCAATTTGTACGAAATAGTGTTTAACGAGAGTAATTTGAACACTAATGGATTTCAAGATCTATCTATAAATTAAGGGATATATCGAAGACGAAGTTTATCAATGTTGCGACATTGCTGAATTAAGTTTCATAGATTTGTCACAACTTTGTTTGGAAGAGTAATAATTTGCGACGCTATGCTACTTCGAAAATTTAATTTTAGAAGATTTAATACTTTTAACCTTCGAACAACGAAAACTGGGTCAAACTTGACGCGTTACTTATTTTTAAATTAAGACTTGGTTGGATACTTTATCAAAGGGTATCAGAGTTTTTACGCATAAAAATAAAAAAGTAGAAAATTAATAAGTCAAAAGTAAATTTTTGCTATTACTAAATTATTTCTTTCAGGTAATAATTAATTATTATGTGTACAAAAAAATAAAAGACCTTTATTTTCATAATGTAGAAGTTTCAAACAAAAACTCTTTTAAGCGACATAAATTTTAGTTAATTGAACGTAAGTCTCAATTCCTTATCTCTTTTTTTCTCTCGGTTCTTCTTCTCGCGGCAATTTTTGAAAGAACGTACGAAATAAATCAATACATATAAAAGGCTAACATTCAAAAATTAATTTTTTGATGCAGAAATAGAAGTAAACAAAAAATTGGAAATTTGAAAGATTGGAAGTGTTAACAGGTAGTCAAGAGCGACAATAATCTGATGGAAAGACGCGAGAAGTGTTTAACGATAGAAAACCTGCTCTCACCGGAAAGTATGAAAAAAAACCCGGAATCAATGTGTCACAGCAGGTTTGAAGCTTCAGTCGTCAAGGATTTCGTGTATCTGAATTTAGAAAGGCAAAAAGTCATAAATAGCATTAAAAAATATATATTACTTAATTATGATGAGGCTTTGACAGATGATACATGGCTCCTCAAATTATATTTAAAATACATTTTGAAGTTTAAAAAGAAGCTTCCGTTTATCTAAGGATACCTATTTTATATTATATCTCTATTTAATTATCTTATCGGATATCTAAGATATCGGATTGTAATCGCTAGAATATACATTTCATCAGTTGCAATCTTGCAACTGACCCGCGTGATCTAAGCAACGCTGCTTATCGCACCTACAGCGATAATTACCGCATTTCTAATGCAATAATCGAGGTAGCTTGACGCAAAAAACAATGTAAAAAGCGACGAGAGCCGTTCTCCTGATACCTCTCGAGCGACACGCTCTTAAGATCTTTCTGGGAGCACCCGAGGAGTTGAAGGTGAGCCCGCGTCGTCTATCGAGAGATCCGCAGTAGTTCAAGGAGAGAGCGAACAAGAGCGTATGTAAGAGCGGTCGACGAAAGACAGGATGGTGGGAAAAACACAAGCGAAGAAAAGCTGCAGTTCAGTGCACCGTTGTAGCGGAGGAAAGAAGAGGCTTCGAAATGCCGATTGGCAATTGACATTTATCGCGACCCCCGCGGCCGTCCTAAACAAGATAATGAAAACTCTCTCGTCGTTGCCCGGTCTTTCTCTCGCCACGAGTAATTCGCGTTTTGCAATCGATGATAAGTTTAGAAGCTCGAGCGTCTGCGATATTTATGGCACTCTATCGAAATGCCTCTCTCAGTCTCGCGAAGCTTCAAATAATGCCTGTTCATAAATCCGCAGACCCACTTGAGTGGGACCAGCGGGGAGCAAGCAGTATAAATGCAAAATCGATATCGAAAGTAACGCCGGCCTTTAAATTCGTAACAACAAACGAAGTACAGTTAATGCGATTGCTCTCCGCGCGTATGACCTAGAAGAGGCGAATGTGTATCCGAGCGTTCACAATAATTTTTAACCGGCCAGCTACTTTTACCTGGCCAACTGGTCGACCAGTAAAAGATGAGGTCGATCGGATAACGAGGTCTCGTAAGGATAACGAGAAATACGTTCGGCCTCACCTAGGACACCTCGACAACGGGGCGCGTGTAGGAAGGGAGAGGAACGGAATGGAGAGGCCGACATACACCGCGCACGCACATCGCGAACTCCACGAAAACTGGTTTCCTGCGCGATTCCCCATTTATTTATTACACGTACGGTGGTGAACGTGTGCCCCCGTCGGCATCCCGACACGTGCATCTCGCCAAGGACTCGGCTCGAGCGAGCATTTAGAAATGCCATTGGGTCCTCACAATGCCCGAGGAAAACCTGGCCGAAATGTATATGTCGCTGGATGTCGCTGGGATTTCGTGTATTTTATTTTTGCGAAATTTCTAGAAAAATCCACAAAAAAACGAGATGTGGAATAAATTAAAATTACACAATCTTACTAGTAATTTTGCAAAATCCTAGACTCTGTCAGTGAAATTGTGTTAAAATTTTTATTAAATTTTTATACTTATAAATATATTATAAATTATATTCACGAATATAAATATAATTATATAAATTTATATTTATATTTATATTTATAATTTTTATTCATTCCACAATATCCCGGTTTTTAGGCATATTGTACTTCTGCGGCGCTTGCCGAGGAATAAAAATTCGATGCGTTATATATGCGTTGCATGAAAACAATTATGTCACATAAATTACGCGTGTCTAATAATTATCGATTTATACTACCACTCCGTCTAACGGCTCGAATGTATCTTTTTCTCATTACGTAACAAAAATACGTGCTAGATTGATGCTGATTCCATGCAAATTTTAATCGTTTATAACGGTGACGCTTTTTATGGCTCGCCATCGTGTCATAATTGCCGGTGCGACTGAATCCTCCGCAACGTTGTGTAAGCGTAATTCTGGTATCATAAGTCAAACGTTAGTTTCAGGTGGGCAATTATCAAGCAACGAGAGATCTTCCGCATTAGAGCGAGTTTCATTGTGTGGTTTTTCGTGTCGCTTTCGTGACATCGATACAACGACCTGGCAATACAATTATGGCTTTTTTTTTTATTCTTCGACATTGAAGAAGATCTATATTCTTTTGCACGTGTCGCGCGGCACGCTCGTAACCTGAATTTGGAATAAACGTCTTTCGCCGTGTCGCGACGATGCAAATATGCCTCGCGTAATCGTACGCGTCCTGCGATGTTATTTCGCCCGCGACGACACAGATATAACCTTTGCTATGTAAACCGCTTTATTGGTCGTCGAGTGGATTATCATTATCGTCTCTAAAGCGCCCCGAAGGTGCGTCTATTAGAATAAGGATCTAGCGACGATCGGATCGCTAGAAAAATAGATGTATACTTTTGTGCGTCCCTCCCATATTTAGATACAGCTCGGGAACTCGATTTTAAACGCTAAATCGGTGCGATACATTGTTTCGAGGAAACGCATTTTCGGGGCCGTGGCAATGGATTTCGCCGAAAGGTCAAACGCCTGTCGACACGCGGGAAACTCGCCGCGCCTCACTGCACATGCAAATACTCTACTCTTCCGGAAGGATTCATCGCGTGGTTACGTACTTAAAGGGATTGAATCATTAACAATTTCACGGAATCGCGAACAGGCAGTTAATTTCCGTGCGCTAAGAGCGATTCCGCAATCACGCATATACGCATGAACGTTACATCTGAAATTATATCTCTCTTGTGTGCACGAACGACTTTCCTCTTCCCACGCGCGCGCGCGGATGTTCCGTTTTCAAGCGGAACTCTCTTTGGGCGCCGTGATGCGTCGCCTTAACGGGGCTATATCTTGAATTTACTTTGTTGAATACCCCGATACTCCTCGATACTGCGCCTTAAAATGCCACTTAAGTGCATCGTCAAGCGTGATTCCCGAATGAAAGTAACGCGGCGCGAGTGACACTTTCTCAGGTTTATGAGTGCAAGGCTTCATTCGCAATCGCTTTCGGGACATCGTAACGTTTTCATGAGGATCATAAAAAGAAGCTTCGTAAAAAAAGATTCCGTTTTCACTTCTCGACGTGCGGCGATCAAAGTCACGGCTCGGACCTTGAACAGCGACACACTTGTATTGAAGAGATTATCTCCATTATAATAATCGGTGCTCAAACATAAATCTTATCAGGATTTTAAGTGCTGATTCTCCTAATTCACTTAGGTGCCCAAAACAGCGTTATAAATCCAGCTTTTAGATTCTACTATGCAGCATTCCTGATGCGATTCTTGTCCGAAGAAGAAGCTGCTAACCGATTCGCCGAGTTAAAAATGGTTTCCACGTCGGGCAAAAGTCGGTGGCACATAAATAAGGAATAAAGAATGGAGCCAGGTAGAAAATAGGATTCGCGTGCAAACGATTAATTTTGCATTCCATCCCACGTTCGAGCCGCGTCTCATCCCTTTAAATCCTAGGTTTCATTTTTCCTTCCATAATTAAATCTCCGTTTTAGAAATTATACTTATAGGTTTCAAGATTATACCATGTTCATGTCCTTCCTTCGTCTAAATCAGATGAAGTTGAAAGTTTCACGAAGAATATTATCATAATATTCGTATGTCGTCATCGCGAATGTAATAATTTTGCTAGATAAATTCTCAGTGATAGGGATTTAATTATTTATCGATTTTTCGTCTTCTCTGATAAACAGGACCTCGCTTCTTTGCTGATGTCCTCCTGAGAGGTGGCAGCACGATCCGGAAGGTGAAAGTCCCACGACGAAGGGGGAAGGAGTGGTGGTGCACATATAGAGGGGCGGAGAGGGCGCGGCTTGTCCAGACGTTCTCTGTCCTGACGACGACGACGATGTCGCCGAAGTTGATATTTCTGCTGGGATCCCTGTGTCTACTCGCCGGTAAGTGCT